CCTGCCCCTCCAGCAGCGGCTCCTGTTCCCCCGTGGCCACCGGCTGCGTGGGGACGGCACCAGCGGTGAGACCCCATTGCACCCCTCCGGCTGAGCCCCCCGCACCGTGACCCCAGCCCTACCGCGGGGTGGCCCGTCCTCGGCACGCGCCGCCGGCAGCACAGGTAAAGCGGTGTCCCCAGGAGCAGGACGGGCACCGACGCCAGCGCCAGCACCACCAGCACGGTCTGCACCGGCACCTGCGGCACAGGGGAACCGTTTCAGGATTCCCCCTCTGGCACCGGGTACCCAAGGGCCGGCCCCTGCGAGGCTCCCCGCTGCTCCCAGCCTGGCCAAAAAGAAGGGTCCCCAGGCGGGTGCCCCCCATCTCGGCAGGGTGCTACCTGCCCCTGGTAGAGCGGGAGGTTCTTAGCGTTGGAAGTGAAGAGGAACATGTCGATGAAGTGGATGAGGATGCTGGGGGCCACGCTGGAGTCAGCGGCGCTGAACTTGACCCACTTGTAGAAGATGAGGAAGACGAGGTAGCCGAAGAGAGCCAGGAGGAAAATCATCTCGGGCAGGAGCTCCAGCACCAGCCGGTGCCGCTGCTGGAAGTGCCTGGGCAGGGGGACAGCAGCCATGCTCAGCCTGGCGTGGCGCACCCTCGCGTGTCCTGGGCTCTCACCCAGATGTAGGGGTACAGGACCCCCCCACTCACCCACCCCACCTGGGTGAGTCCAACCCCGGTCCCCTTCGCATGACCATGGGTGGCCAGAGCCCGTGGGCGCAGCCACGGGGACTCACATATGGTTGAAGACCCCCAGCAAGACACCGAAGCCCATGTGCACGACGCCCAGCACCACGGACATCTTCATCTTGAAGGAGTTGAGGAAGTTGAGGTGGTTGGTGGCCAAGCTCCAGATCTATCATGGACAAGGTGGGTGAGACCCTGGGCCACCCCACCGAGGGTCCCACCCCGTCCCCTCCCCCACGGGACACTCACTGGGTCAATCCCAAAAGGATAGGGCCCTTGGAAGACACCGGTGATGTTGGGGTCCAGGGTGAGGGACGGGTGGGTGGCGAGGTAGGCAGAGCTGTGGGCAGAGTGAGGGGGTGTCAGCGCAGGCAGGGACCTGGGGGGGGTTCACGGTGGGGTTGGGAGTCCCACCTCCAGGAAGAGTGGTTGGCCATGGTGGCCACGCTCCAGGCGGAGGGGAAAATGACGGTGGCTTTGCTGAAGCACTCGTTGTAGATGAAGCCGGTGTAGATGGAGAAAGCCCCCATGAGCAGGATGAGGTAGCGCCCCTCGAAGAACGTCTGCCAGATCTGGTGGGGGCAAACATGGCTCACACGTCCCACACCACCTCCCCTGCCCCACGCCATCCCCTTCCCACACCACCAACCCTGCCCCATACTGTCCCTGTCCCACATCACCAGCCCCATCCCGTACCTCCAACCCCATCCCGTGCCTCCAAGCCTGGCGCCCCACCATGTCCCCCTCACCTCGTTGCTGGCCTGCTGCAGGCTGGGGCTGTTCTCGTACAGCACCATCCAGAGAGCGAAGAGGAACATGAGCAGCCCGTGCCCCACGTCCCCAAACATGATGGCGAAGATGAAGGGGAAGGTGATGATGGCGTAGGGCGCTGCAGGGACACAGGGACCGCGTCACACAGGCCCCCGCCCCCCCGCCAGCCCTGGGCCATGGCAGGGGGTCAGGGGGCCTTACCGGGGTTCACCTCCTGGTAGCTGGCCACCCCGTAGGCGTCCACGATGCTTTGGAAGCCGGCGGTGAACTTGTTGGTGCGGATGAGGGTGGGGGGGCTCTCCGAGGTGGGGATGCGCTGCACGAAGCACTCCACGCTCGAGCCGCTCTTGTACTGCGGGGAAAGCGCCCAGCACCTGACCCACGGCATCCCCCTGCCCGGCACCCGCCCCACCATGGCAGGAGGACACGGGGACACCGAGCAACCTCTGGAATGAGGACGTGGGGACACCAAGCAAACCCCTGGCATGAGGACATGGGGACACCAAGCAACACCAGCACAAGGACATGGGGACACCATGGCAGGAGGACACGGGGACACCAAGCAACCTCTGGCATGAGGACATGGGGACACCAAGCAACCCACCGATCCCTGGCGCAGAGCGTCCTGCACTTGGGTGAGGTCCCGCACGGGGCACCAGACCTCGGCGATGAGGCACTTCTCGGTGACATCGAAGCTGCACTGGTTGAGGACGAGGTAGATGGCCTTCATCTTCTGCACCTGCACCCTCCAGGTGGGCAGCGCCAGCACCACCTTGTCCAGCACCTGCGCCAGGTACTGCTCCGTCTCCTCCAGCACCTGCGGGCGCCCAGCACGGGTCAGGGACGGGGGGTTCCCGGCACGGCCCCCCAGTCCCCCTGCGGTGCCCAGCTCACCACGCTGAGGTCCTGGATCTGGCTGTGCAGCCCGCTCATGGTGTCCGCCCGGCTGGCCTCGCTCTCCGGGTAGGGGTACACGTGGCAGTGGAAGCTGGGACAGACGGATACCACCGTGTCAGGGGGTGCCAGGGCTCCCCAGCCCGTCCCCGTCAGGGGGTCCGGAGCGGGTCTTGCTAAATAAACCTCTGTGTGGCCAGACACGTGGCACGGGGCTGCTGGCTCACCAGTCTGAGATCTTGCGGATCTTCTGCCCAATCTGCTCACCCCAGTAGGAGATGAGGAAGATGACCCAGGTGATGTTCTCGCCCTGGGGACAGCATAGCCCACGTCAGCCCCGGCTGTCCCGGCCCCCCTTCCCTGCCAGCCCCCATCCCGGTGCCCCGCTCACCGTGGCTGGGTCCTCCATGGGCTCAGGCATCTCCACGAAGCTGGCCACCAGGTAGCCGCGGCAGGCGCGCCACAGCAGCCGCTCGAAGGCGCTCACCCGCCACGGGTGAATGACGCCGGCCACGAAGCTGCGGGGACACGGCGAGGGCGCTGGGACGGGCACGGCTCTGCTGCTGCCCCTGCCCCATGGCTCCTCCCCAGACCTCATCCTACAGCCATGCCTGCTGCCCCATGGCCCATCTCCAACCCTTACCCTGTGCGTTACCCACTAGTCCTGCCCCATGGCCATGCTGTTGCCCCTTGGCCAATCTCCAGCCCTTATCCTACAGCCATGCCCATTGCCCCGTGGCCACACCACTGCCCCACGGCTCATCTCCAACCCTTATCCTACAGCCTTCCCAGATGCCCCATGGCCATGCCACTGCCCCATGGCCATCTCCAACCCTTATCCCACAGCTTTGCCCGCTGCCCCATGACGAAGCCACTGCCCCATGGCCATCTCCAGCCCTTACCCTACAGCCATGCCCACTGCCCCATGCCCACGCCACGGCCCCTCTCCAACCCCCGCCCCACACGCCAGCCCCTCTTACTTGCTCTTGCGG